GGGAGAATGCTCTTCCCTGGGCAAGGGCATCGGTCAAGCAGGCCAGCATCCCCCACAAGCATGAAGGATGCATTCTGTGCACCCCTCTTCACTGCCAAGACCCCCCCTCCATAGGAGCCACTTCCTGGGGAGGGGAGGGGGGGGCTCTGCAGTTGCCAGGCAGAATTCCCCTCCCCCCAAAGAGGTGCCTGGATCCAAATGGCTGGTTCCTAAATTTGGTGTCTGCACCTTTGCCGTCCTGAAGAGGAGACGGCCTGATAGCTGTCCCCACAGAGGCAGATACCACCCACAGGACTCAAGCACAGGAGACCCCTCCCCATCCTGTGACCACCCTCCCCCAATTGCTCAATCTTCAATTGTAAACACACACACACACACACACCGGTTCCTCTTTGCTGCCCCTTCCCTGGGTGCCTTGCCATGTTTGTTGCCACCTCAGCCATACTAGGAATGGAGTAGATGACCTCTGAGGCCCCTTCCCAACTCTTCTCTTTCTATGATTCCGTAAGGGTCTCCTGCTCGAGCAGGGGGTTGGACTAGATGACCTCCAAGGGCCCTTCCACCTCTATTCTGACCGATCCGAGCAGAAAGACCAAGGCACTCCTCCTGAGCAAGGATGTGTCTCTCCTCACGAGAGACACCCTGGCCGCCCCCCTACGGCCCTTCCCCGCCGAGGCCCCCGTCTATCCACCTGGCAACCACTGGCAACGCCCGGCAGAGGGGCCTCCGAGCTTTCCTCCTGCAGGTTCCCTGGCTCTCACCTGGGTGACCTTCTCTGTGACGTTGTGGGTGCGGTCCTTCAGCTTGCTGGGGGCGATGATCTCCTTCTCGCTGGAGGGGGAGGTCAGGAAGGCCTCGGCCTTGAAGTCCACAAAGTTGAGGGTGATCTGAGGGATCTTGCTGATCGCCCGGTAACGCATGAGGTCCGAATCGGAGGTGGAGTTGAGCAGGTGGCTCCGGGCGTTGTTCATGGCCCCTGCTGGGAAACCCCAAAGGTGTGAGCGAAAGAGGGGGGGGTGCTTCAGTCTCCCTCCCGCCCACGTGAGGACACCCCGAGCCCAAAGCCTGTGCCCTCTTCATCGGTCCGGCTGGCCAAGGGCACCGAACTCTCCCGTACAAAATTGCTCAATAACATTCCACCCCCAACCCTCACCCTGACCCAAACCCCCACCCTAATCTTTACCCCAACTCCCACCCTAACACTAACCCTCACCCCAAACCCCAACCCTCACCCTAAATCCTAATCGTAAACCCCAACCCCTAACCCAACCCCAACCCTAACCCCTAACCCCTAACCCCCACCCCTAACTCCAACCCCAATCCTAACTCACCCTGTCTAACCCTCACCTTAACCCCTAACCCTAAACCCCAACCCCATCCCTCACCCTAACCCATTGACAAGACATCCCCAAATCTGTTTCTGCCAAGATGGGGAGAGATCTCCTTCTCTGCCCCACTGGAGTTGTGGGTACTCCAACACGGGCGGTTCTGGAGAAGAGATGGAACTACCATTTGTCTGGAATGGTAAAGGCTCTCTTGCTTGAGCAGAGGGTTGGACTAGAAGACCTCTAGGGGTCCCTTCCAACCCTATTATTCTCTTATTTTGAATGGCATAGAGTCTCCTGCATGAGCAGGGGGTTGGACTACATGACCTCCAAGATCCCTTCCAGTGCTTTTATTCTGTTAGGGTCTCCTGCTTGAGCAGGGGGTTGGACTAGATGACCTCTAGGGTCCCTTCCAACCCTGTTTTCATTATTCTGAATGGCATAAGGTCTCCTGCTTGACAAAGGGGTTGGACTAGAGGACCTCCAAGGTCCTTTCTAATGCTATCAGAAGCGCTTGCCTGCCCAACCTCCTCCGGACTAGACGGCACATCCGTTGGCACCCCTCGCACCCTGCCTCGCAGCACCCGTGTGGGGACCCACCTGTGCTGGCATGCCGGCTGTGGGCCCAGCCTTTCTCCCCTTCGCCCTTCATGGCCTCGATGTCGTCCACCGAGGACGCCCGGCGCACACTGTAGAAGCTCTCGCGCGAGCGGCTGCGGGTCAGGCTGCAGTTGGAGAAGGAGGCCTCCAGGTGGAGGAGGGTGGCCTTGTCCATTCGTGGCGAGGAGTGTGTGACTGGGGGGTCCTCTCTGCCGTCCCCCCTGTGCTCCATCAAGGCACGCCGGTCCTCTGGCTCCGGTTCCTCCTCCTCCTCTTCCTGGCAGCCCAGGCAGGCGTGGTCCAGGGAGGAGGTGACTTCGTCCAGAGCCACGGACTCACTGCTGGGCTTGGACAGGTCCACCACCACGGCTTCATCCGGCTCATCCGGCGGCAGCGACTGCTTGCTCCCGGCCAGGGCCAGCAGTGCCGGCAGCTTCAGCCGGAAGGATTTCCCGCGGCCTGGAAGGCAGAACCGAGAGGCTCATTTGAGTGGCGGGGTTGAGAGGGAAGGGCAATGAGCCCCTTCCCCATCTGCAGGTCAGACTAGAAGACCCCAGGGGTCTCCTCCGCCTTGGCTACAGATTGACTTACAATGGCTTATTTAGC